CTCTTTGCGAGGCGATTTCCACTCTGTCAGGACAAAAGGATCAGAGGTTTCATTACAAGACCGCATAAGTACCAGATCAACCAATATGTGTGTGAAAGGATTACAGATTAGCGAATGGACCCAAAAGATTCTCTCGCTTTCACGCTCCCCCTCCCTTTTGCGATCACCGCCTTCTTCCTCTTTTTCACTTCGGTTTGACGCGTGGCATGAATCCGACGTGAGATCGATTCGAACTTGGCTTCACTCACGCGACAACTCCCGAGGAGAAGCGGCTCGGATAACGGGGGGGACGGGTGGATGGATGGAGGGACCAATCGTCCAGGCATAACATTAGCTGTCTGCAAACCAAAATATTCTTCAGCCACACTGCCTGGCAAACAGCCGCTATTATTGTCAAGGTTCTTGGGAGGGAAAAAAAAAAAAGATGAATGATAACAACAACGATAATAACCCGAGCCAAAGTTACTGTCAAAAGCAGTGCGTCAGCTCCTGCCCCACATTGACTGGATCAGTAATGACTCGGCACAGGATGTATTGACCCTCTGCCTTGTCTCCCGGCACAAGCAATAAATGTGCCAATTGTTTGGGGCCCATAAAATAGGCAATAAAAAAGGTGACTCTCGGGCAATGCGAAAATGACGGATTTGATGTTCTGGACTGGGGAAGAGCGGCCAGAAGAATTCTTCCACGGGGTCACGCGTTTTAAACTCGCCTTAATCCAATTTCTCCATAACTAATTCAATCCATCAATAAGAAATGTGATAGAAACAAGGAGATCGAGTCTTTCGGGATGGCCACTCTTCCTCCTCCTCCTGGGCAATCGGCCCCCGTCAGGGACTTGCCCCCCCTCCCGGGGTCCCACACCCCGTACGACTCTGGCAAGTTTGAGAAGTGCAGTCATTTTCTGCAGTACGGCAGGGCCGTCCAACTCATTTTTGTCGCGCGACGTCTTCACTTGGCGGGCCGTTATGACGTTGAAACCACAAAAAAACGTTGACTCCTATTCTTAACCGTACACAAGCAATTGATGGGTTATGAGTTTTGAAAGCCATCCACTCGAACAGTTTGTTCGACTAATGTTCGAGTGAGTGCAAACGGGGTAAGAAAACCACTGCAAAAACGTTCGAGGACACGTGACCATTTGACATTTGGGGAGAGATTTTTTTTTAACACGGGCCATCAAGCAAGTTGACACGCATGATTTGCATTCGCGGAGTACATAAAAAGACTCGGCGGGGCGGACCTTGCCCCCGGGCCTTGACTTTGACACCTGTGCAGTTCGGAGCTCTGCCGCTATCACAGGAGGTCACCCAAGAGGCAAGAAGGCAAACGCTGAGGTCGCCGCGGCCTTCTGTGGTCAGCTCGATCCGATGTCGGGGTTGGCCGTCTTCGATTTTCCTCCACGACCGAATGCAAACCATTCCGGACATGGCCAAAATCCCCCCCCCCCCTTCCTTTGTTCCCCGGCTTGCACTTACACCGCATTCGGGCCTGGGCCATTTTAGGTACACGGGTACACACAATGCAGCATTCTATTTCCCCCCCCATCGCAAAAGGTGGTGGCTCTCATTAACTTGTGATGTGAGCAATCACTCCCATCTCATATGCTAGCACATTGTGTGTCCGCGTGCCTTGTGCATGACCGAGCAAGGACTTTACGGACTGCTTTGCTTCGAGTGGCTCTGGTTATTTTTATTTTGCAAAGGGGGCAGTTATCATGACGAACTGCGATGAGGAGCAAGCCCATTAATTCGAGGCCACGTACATTGCGTGCACGTGTGCCCAAGTGGGACTGAGCGTGCGGTTGACTTCTTTGGACGAGCTCGTTTCGAGTTGTGTTCATTTTTGTTTGTTTCTCAGCAATTTGTGACGAGGACTGATCGTGCATGTGAAATGAATTGTGAGTTTGTGAGTGGTGGCGTCTCTTTTTGTGTCCATGAACCAAAAGTCCTGCTGCTTTTTTTTGAGGGGGGGGACTGGATTACTTGTAGTCTCACACACACACACACACACACACACACACACACACACACACACACACACACAATCCCAATTTTGAAATGCTACCGAGAAAAAAAACAACCCAATAAGAATAAAAGCAAACAAACAAACAAAAACATTCCAGTGTTGGTCAATTTACTGATGATATGACACCTACGCGTTCCATTGTCTGAGCGAGCGCTTTGCTCACCGCCCCGACACTTGCGCAACTGGAGCAATTGAGAAGGTCCCGGCAACTTGAGACCATTTCAACAAACCGCGAGTAGATTTGAAAGAGTTTGACGCAATGGCTGTGCCTCGGACGAGCCACCGCAGAAGTTGGCACGATGCTCTGAAAGGGTCAGAAGCTAACGAAGGGTTTCACACCCGCGAGCGCGGCGTACCTTCTTTGGTATAGAGAGTAATCTCCACCTTTCTCTCCTCGGCTCCCAGGAGAGCTTTGGCCATCTGGGCCACCGCCGGTCTTTTGGTGAGAGGTCCGTACAAGAAGGTACAGGTGCAGGCTTTTTGCATGACCTCTGCCCGGCTGTAGCCGCACAGCCCGCAGAAGGCATCGTTGCAGAAGATGATGGCGCAGTTCTCCACCTGGGCGTTGGCGATGATGAATTTGCGGTCTGCGGGGGAAGGAGGAGATGTGAAGATAAAAATCCCAATTTTGAAATGCTACAGAGAAAAAAAACAACCCAATAACAATGAAAACAAACAAACAAACAAAAACATTTCAGTGTTGGTCAATTTATTGAGAAGGTGTCCGATTTTTCCTCGCAGGACTTGGCCCGTTACCTGCGGTCTGTGTTTCACGTGAGTCGCGTTGCTCTTACATTTTGCTCAGCATTTGCAAAGGCGATACGCGGCAACCGTCCCGTCGAGACCTTTCTTGCTCAGTCCAAAGTGTTTCCACACAAGCGAATGCATTGCGTCCGTCTTAAAATTGTCCCCTTCCTGATGATATATGTTGCGTGCTTGACGCAAATCTCCAACCCCGACTGAACATCATGTGCACAAAATACAAGCCACAAATCTTATTTTGGATAGGTTTAAAAAAAACAAAAAAAAACGATTTTTTTCAATTGCCTATATGAGCTGCATTGCCCCGCCCAATGTCTCAACTTCATAGAGTCTTGCCTCAATCAATTGTTGAACCTGTATTATTTTTCTCTTCAATTTATATTTGTTGATTTACGACAAATCAATCTGAATTAAATTCTTTGTTTTGAATCTTAAATTCTCGACTGCAGAGTGAATATGGTGCCTCTTGTCAGAAACAAACTCAAGGTCTTTCTGTCAAATGATCTGACAATGGTTTCATAGAAATTGTATCCATCAAAAGTGGATCCAGTGACTTGTTCTCTGTGACGATGAGCACTCGAGGGTTGAGTACCCGTACGTGTGTCTGTGAGAAAAGAAGTGGATCAAACATGCCCTGTGTTGAAGTAGTGATCCATATCCACGATATTGGGTCACAGGTTTTGCCCTCAAGAATGTCAAAACACAGCCAAAATGTGGGATGCTTGGTCACACAAGGCACACCATTCGGGCTAAAAAAAAAAAACATTCCACATTCCACACTGCACGTGGTGTTACCAAATACAAACTCACATCGAATTAGTAGTTGAAGTGAAACTACTTCCGAATTATATGGCAATTAAGAAAAACGGGGGAGGTGGGGGCGAGCACCTGCAGAATATATCGTGCTGGATGCAAATGACATCATGATCATATTTTTAAAAAATCCAAAATCATTAAAGTAATAGACTTAGTCAAATGAGCCCGTTCAAAAGTAAAACGGCATTTGAAAAAGAGTACATTTGGAAGTCAGTCATGTCAATTAGGAAACATCGTCCCAATATAGAAGGCTGTCGGGGATTATTTTGACGCCGGTGAAACTGCTGCTCTCGCATCGCACAATATTGATTTCAAGGTGAGAAAACATCAAGCCGGGCATTTTATGGACACGAGTTACTTTGGGTTTTTCTTCCCGGTTTTCCTTCCTAACATGTCCATCGAGCTTTCATCACAATCTCGAGAGCTCGACCGGCGAACGCCTGAAAGTTTTCGTCAGGATGTCGGAGGTGTTTTCGACTTACTCTGGCTCTCGAACTTTCGGATGATGGTGTCCAAGAAAGTATTTGGGGGCGCCATATGGCCCCTTCTCACCGGCATTGTGACGACTTCTTCGCTGTCCGAGGCGGAAATGTCCAAAGTGGTGAGCTAACTTGTTAGTTGACGCGGAATTGCACCTTCGAGTCAGACGGGGCAGAAGACGCGGGGAGGGAGCGTGGCGGTTGTTACTCGTCTCTCTGGCGGTTCGGCGTTGCTTTCCCGAACGATTCAACGCTCCATCCAAACGGCACGGACACACCCAAACGGTCCTCCCCACAGGTGGGCTGTCGAGGCATTGGCGGCACCCTGCGTGGAGAGGGTTGCCGCGTTGTAGCGACGCGTCACTTCGTCCGCCCTATTGGATGTGGCGCATCCGTCCACAAAGCAAACCAGCGTACTTCTGTTCACTTAACTTCAGACGGCCGAAACCTACAAAGCACCGTGATGCAGAAAATCAAGGGGTGAAGATGTTAAGACCTCTCAGTCGGCCTATCACATGCGCGCGCGTGCGCACACGCACGCACACACACACACACACACTTTTTTGGGCAAACAGATCAGCACCAAAAACCGACGTATGTCGTTTTTCTTTACGTGATGACGGTGACAGGAACATTATATACAGGACATACTTGAGTGCTTCTATATCACTGTACCAATAAACGTACAGTATCATCATCAGATTGAAAATGACATCCATTCATTTCAGTGCATCTTACACAATCATGCCGAAGCCGGGCCAGATGCCTTTGCTGACTGTGAACATCGAGTATGTCACTTTTCATCTAGGATTACTACTTATACCATACAAGCAGCAAACCTCGATGTATTTTTTTCGTTTGTTGTTTGTTTTCTTATGTCCATCCATCCATTAACTGATCTTCGGGGTGTGCCGGAGCCTCTCCCAGCTGTCTTCAGGCAGTAGGCGGGGGACACCCTGAACCGATTGCCAGCCAATCGCAGTATTTTCTTATGTGATATTGTCATGACTGGAATAGTTGTAGTCGGAGCAGCAGCGTGGTTGTTATGCATCGGTACTAAGCGGATCCTGAAATTTATAAGTGACACTTGTGGCTTTTCTGAACAAAGAGCACCGCTACTGTGACTCACTGTGATTCAATTTGACATTTAGTGACGTGTGCAGGCGTCGCCGATGGTGTAGTGGTCCACTCGCCTGATTTGAGAGCGAACAGCGTGGGATGGGTTCCCACTCAGTGAAGGTGCGGCCGTGGCTGTCGATGGCTCTCTGCAAGTGCCCTGCGACTGACCGCTGACTGACCCACCGATGTCGAAAGGGCCGTTAAAAGTCAGCGTCCAGTCTTAACTCCAACGAGATGAGTCATTAGTCTTATTGAGTACAAAGTCCAATTCATGACGTAAAACTATTGAGCCTATTAAAAATAAACGATCATGTTTTCGAGACCGCGGTCACATTGCCTATTTATTAGGCCTTTGAAGATCTAATCAAGCAGCCAAACTTTCCTTTCGCAATTACAAATGTACGACATTCTTCAAAAAGGACTAAAACTGTCCGCATTGCTAAAGATCGACTTCTTCCGACGGCGCGGTCATGCCCGACGCACCTCCAACGTGGCCTCATTGATGCAAGAGGAAGTGCCTCGCGCATTGCTGTACGACGACCTCGCCGAGTGGAGGATTGAAACAATGACGACCCGGCTTCAAGAAACATTCGAAGAGCATCTTTGACAAGGGAACCGAGCATTCCGTGGCTGAGCAAACGGGGAGAAAATCGCACGTTCGCATTATTCCAGACTCTGGACATGATGAAAGCCGCTTCCAAATGGCAGTCAACGTCATTCGTCTCGAGTTGAATGGAAGTGATGATTCCAAGGTCCTTCCGCTTGTGACTGCCTCCGAGCCAGAAGCGTGAAGAGAATCCGACAAAAAGGTTCCCGTGTCGTTTGTCCAATCCATCCGCAGTTCCCGCCGCAAGGATTGGCTTCAACGTGAGCGGGAAGCTTTCCCCAGAATCCTGTGCAACTCCGGTGACATGAGGTAAGGTTTTGCTGGGCTCCCATCATTTCGCTCCAAGTCATCACCTAATTTGCTCACGGAAAGGAAAGCGGGGAGAGGAGAGGCAACGTGTCGCCATACGGACATGGAAGGCGACGGAGAAGGAGAGGGGAAAAACGGGTGAGGACAAACCTCAAGCGTCAACGACCCGTAGCGCATTTTGAATGGAACGGTGGCGGTGCCGCTAGCGAGAGAGCAGGATCTTGCTTTGTCTTTTCCCACGAGGAATGCGATCGCCATGTTTTTCGCGCGAGTCGTCTGCTTTCCACCGTCCGAAAATACGGACGCGCGCGTATGTTCGCTTCCTTGAACGCCGATTGGAAGACGGGCGTCAAGGTGACTAGGAGTACCTGGCTGCGCGGTTGCCCGCTGATCGGGTGGGGGAATATTTTCACGCAGAGGTGCCGTACTCACAGAAGCAGAGGAAAAACGTGTTGACGCACATGGCGTAAACACCGAAGAAACCATCAGCGATCAGGTAGGCGCCCAGCACGGTTGTCTGAGAAAGAAAAAAACAGGAAATGCTCACTTACTTATTTACCAACTTTGAAAAACGCAAAAGTTACAGTTTCACCTTTGGACGCGTTTTGGCTCGCACAACTCGTGATTCTTCTTTACGTACGTAACTGAAGCTCAAAGCGATGCCGTTTTCAAATAAAAGCCGCCAAATTGCTCTTCGGATTTCTTAGAGACAATGTGACAAGGAATCTGCGACTTCATGGCGACAAAACGACCGACGCTATTGACCTACAACCGAGGCGTGTCCAGCTGCGGCCCTTAAGGGCTGCTGACTCAAATCATCATCATCATCAAAAGCAAGCTCCGCGGTGGAGTCAGCAGACATGTAAAACACAGCAGGCAGCCCTGGAGGACCCTGGTCTGGAACTTCCGATGACCCTTGCCGTGTTGCTTGCACGTCACCTAACGTTCACCTCGTTGAGAGCGGCGTGCAGTCCTTGCACCAAACTTTACACATTAGAAAATCTTGACATTATTTATTCGTCGAGACGACGAGACGATCATCTGCCAACTTAGTATTCTGGGCTGTAGACCAAAGGGTGACATTTTTCCCCCAAAACGCGAGAGCCGGCGCGACTCCAGTTTTCACCAACTCGTGCCGGTGCAACCATGAAGTGAGTCTGTAGCTCTGCTATGGGAGACTATCAAAGCAATACATATTCTTCTTGTTGCTCTAAAAATCAGAACACTGCACCAAAAGCAAAAAGACGAGATCAACCCAATCAGTGGCTCTCTCATTGCGGGTAGAAATGGCTGCTGGGAATTACCATGAGAGGAACCTCATAGTAGTGGAGATGGGGGACTTCTTCCTGGAAAAGAGCAATCTTCTTGGTGAGCAAAAGCAACGTTAACACACCTGAAACGTCGATGGCAGGGAAAAAATGGCCTTTTATGTGGATTCTCCACATGGACCGTTAAAAAAAAATAAAAAAACATGACTCACGACTTACCGACTCCTCCTGCTATCATTACCTTTCCCAAAAACAACAGAAAATCAGTCACTCTGTCCACAACTGCAACCCTGGAGAACACAGATTCAAAAAAAGGGTGTCAATAAAAATGGATGGCACCGTTGTCGTGCAACTGCAGCGCAAGAAAATTTTATGTATATATACTGTTTACATAAAAGCCACGGTGAGTTAGAAAATGCTTGACTTCAGGTGCTGCTGCTGAGGATAGCTCAATCAAGTGGCAGGTAGGCTGCAATACGTTTTTTTTTCCTTACCTGAAATCAAATCACCCTTTTATAAAAATGCTCATTTTAAGGTTAAGTGGGGAAATCAAATCACCCTTTTATAAAAATGCTCATTTTTATCCAAACTTTCTGTTTGATGATTTTAAATATTCTGAAGTGAGGAAACTGCAATAATGATCATCATAATAATGACAAAAGTAACGTTCATAATGAGAATGTGAGAAGAGGGCAAATACTTTTTCACGGCACCGAACGATCGGGCCGAAGCGAGCCTGACCTGACCACGTTCCTCATGAGAAGGAAAAATGCCTCTTGAGCCGACCTCAAGAAGTTCTTGCCATCGATTGCCACCTAATGGAAAACATATCATGAATATTGTCTGCAATCTGACCCAGAGCCGCATCACGCGCACTCGATGAAACTCACCATGATGTAAGCGTTTTGGTTCAGGTAGCGAATGAATTTTTCCAAACACCAGAAACAGCATGTGAGGCAGCACAGGATAAACCTGCAAGGGCCGCCATCAACCCCTACCGGGACGCAAACGCAAAAAGTCGGCTGCGAACAGAAGAAAGCCTTCACTCACTACAGGAGCACCGTGTGGAATGGTGTCAACCTTTCAGTTTCTTCTCCAAGTATTTCAGCGTCATCCGAAAAAGACGGGCAACCGAGAGAACGAGAGCCCCAAAGGCCAAAGAGCCCGTGTGATACCTGCAGACAGTCCAAGGTGGACAAAAGTTACTTTTTGTTCCAGTTCCCAGGACACAGTTGGACACTGGTTCGAGGAGTGGTGACAACAAAATGGAGGGGGGGGGGGGG